TGTTGTTATTATTATATCATCATCCTCATTATCATATTACAACACTGGCTGAGGGCCTGCTGCTTTTGCCTCACCTTTTCCACACCAGGTGACTTCTATAATAATAATGTTAATAATAATGTTATAATGGGTGGGGTCATATTATATTATTAGTATTGTATTGTATTTATATTATAAATATATATTTTTCTCTCCTTGCAGGCGTGTGATGCCAAACGCAGCCATGAAGAAGAAGGTGAGGGCTGTAGTTTCTCTTGGCCTGCTGCTTATACAGTTAAACCTTGGATCCCCACCTGTTTTGTAAAGTTTGGCTCCCAAATGCCGAAAAACCCCAGAAGTAAATGTTCCAGTTTTCGGAAGCCGGACGTCTGATGGGAAGGAAGGATAATAAAACAACAACAAAGAAATCAATTTTTAAAAAAATTAAATCAGATTTTTTTGATTTAAATCGTATTTTTAAAGTGAATTGCTTTTGGAGGAAAAAATCTTCCTCAAGATTTTCTCTTTTCAGTTACTTTCTAGTGAAAAGGCTGTTTATCAGGAAATAAGGATTCATTTAAAGTTTTTCAAGTCATAAGTTTTTTTTATTTAAAAAAATTGTTTCAGCACATCAGCTAACAAACATGGATACATATGTGATCATGTTTTTGTTTTGGCAAAATAAATTGTTTCAATTGCTATGAAGGAAATGATTATTTTTCTCCTTCCGATCAAGTACAGCAAAAAAAACTTGTCCAAATATAAGTAGTTGACTTATTAAACCTCACCATCATTTCATAATTATTGGTCTATACATTTCTAAGAGAAGAAGCAAATCAGTCACTTTTGAGATAATGATATATCAAATTCACCCTGGATATACCGTAACTATGAAAACTACACTGAAAATATATTATTCCAAAAAGGAAAGCTTCCTCCGGTTGTCAGTATTAGGAGGATACCAGCAAGCCTAAACCAGAAACAGGATTTAAATCAAGTCTTACTGACTTGTGGTTTCAATCGTGATTTAAATTGTGATGCTATAATGTTCTAGTTTTAGTGAAATAAATTGTTGAGTTATGAAGGAAATGATTCTTTTTCTCCTTCCAATCAAGTATAGCGGAAAAGGGGTCCAAATAGAAGCAATTTCATAGGATGCCAGCGAGGCTGAAGCTTTTTTGTAAAACGGGGTTTAAATCAAATCTTACTGACGAGGTTTTTAAGTTGTGATTTAAATCGATTTGATTGAAATCAAATCAACCCTCAATAATAAATAATGTAATTATTTATACACTGTCTATCCAGATGGGTTTCCCCAGCCACTCAGGGTGGTTCCCAACATCATCATCATCATCATCATCACCCTATCTCTAACCCCTAACAACAACAACAACAACAACAATTTTATTAATAATTTTATGATTTATTCTTTATTCGCCCCAGGTTCTCCTGATGGGCAAGAGCGGCTCTGGCAAAACCAGCATGAGGTCCATCATCTTTGCCAACTACATCGCCCGCGACACCCGCCGACTGGGCGCCACAAGTAAGAGGAAGTGTGCTGGGTAGAGATGGGAAAAAATAAAATAAAAATGGGGGGGGGGACAAGGTTTTATTGCCATTTCCCCCCAAATTCATTTGATTTCATTCAAGTTAATTTAATAGCACAAATTCATTGGATTTCAATCAAGTTAATTCAATTTCTTGTTGTTATTATTACTACTACTGCTGAGAACCTTGCAACCTTTGCTGTCGCTTGCTCATTTTTAAAATTATTATTAGGGAAAGAACCCTGCCATAATAATAAAAAGAAGAATGAACTTTTTCTGCTTTTTCAGCTCGTTCTTATTATTCATGCTCATTCTTCTTCTGGTGCTGCTGTTCTTGGCCAGATGATGATGATAATAATAGGAATAATAATGGGAATAATAATAATAATAATAGGAATAATAATCTCATTTTCTTCTTCAGTTCGTTCTTATTCAAGCTCATTCTTCTTCTTCTTCTTCTTCTGGTTCTGCTGTTCTTGGCCTGATGATGAGGATGATGATAGGAATAATAATCTCATTTTCTTCTTCAGCTCGTTCTACTTATTCAAGCTCATTTTCATTCTTATTTTGTTGCTGCTGTTCTTTGCCAAATGATGATGAAAATAACGATAATAATAGGAATAATAATTTCTTCTTTTTTTCTTCTTCTTCATCTTCTTTTTCAGTTCATTCTTCTTATTCAATCTCATTCTTCTCATTCTGGTGCTGCTGTTCTTGGCCAAATGAAGATGATGATGATAATAATAATAATAAGGAATAATACTTTCTTCTTCTTCCTCCTCCTCCTCCTCTCCTCCTGCTCTTTTTCAGCTCATTCTCATTCAAGATCCTTCTTATTCTGGCACTGCTGTTCTTTGATAAATGAGGATGAAAATAATGAGAATAGTAGGAATAATTATCTCAATTTCTATTCTTTTTTTCTTCAAGCTCATTCTTCTTCTGCTGCTGTTCTTTGGCAAACGATAATAATTCTTCTTTGGAAATCACTTGTAGCCGAGTAAGATTGTCTTCCATAAACACGGTTTTAACAATGAGTCCGTAAGTGCCTGTGGAGGCCAATTCTGGATCTACACGTCCTTCCACAGTGGGGACATTGGCTTCCGGGCGAGAGTTGACCACGGTGAGGGCTTGCCAAGCATGCCTTCCTCTTAGCACGTTTCTCCCTTGCGTCCTGAGTTTGAGTGTCTTCAAAGCCCATGACACCTTTGGTAAGGCTGTTCTCCAACTGGAGCGCTCACAGGCCAGTGTTTCCCAGTTGTGTGTTTATACTACATTTTTTAAGATTTGCCTTGAGACAGTCTTTAAACCTCTTTTGTGACCACCAGCATTATGCTTTCCATTTTTAAGTTCGGAATAGAGTAGTTGCTTTGGAAGACGATAATCAGGCATCCCCACAACAATGCCAATTGTTGAAGAATCATTGCTTCAACACTGGTGACTTTGCTTCTTCCAGTACACTGGATATTAGTTTGCCTGTCTTCCCAAGTGATGTGTAAATTTTTTTGGATATACGTTGATGGAATCTTTTGAGATGGAGGTGGCATTTATAAGTGGTCCATGTTTCACAAGCATATAGTAAGGTTGGTAGTACAATAGCTTTGTAAACAAGCATTTTGGTTTCCCTGCAATGTCCCGGTCCTCAAACACTTGCACTTCATTTGGGAGAAAGCCGCACTCGCAGAGCTCAGGTGATTCTGGATTTTGGATCAATGTCAGCCCTTGCGGAAAGATAACTCTCTAGGTAGGAGAAGTGATTGACATTTTCCAACGTTACACCACTGAGTTGGATTTGTGGTGCTGCAGAGGGGTTATTTTGTACTTGTTGGTGTACTTTGGTTTTTTGTAAGCTTCTGCAAAGGTATTTAGGATGGTTTGGAGGTCATCCTCTGAGCGTGCACACACTACATTGTCACCAGCATATTGAAGCTCTATGATGGAAGTTATGGTAACCTTAACTTTTTGCTTTCAGCCTGCTCAGATTGAAGAGCCTTCCATCTGTTCGATATATTATTTCTACTCCGGTGGGGAGTTTCCCTTCAACAAAGTGTAGCATCATGGCAATGAAAATAATGAATAGAGTTGGGGCAATAACACAACCCTGTTTAATACCTGATCCCACTGTGAATGGTTCACTTTGAGAGGCATTGTTATCTGTGATTGTTGCTGTCATATACCGTATTTTTCGCTCTATTAGATGCACTGGACCATAAGATGCAATTAGTTTTTAGGGGAGGAAAACAAGAAATAAGAAAGCAACGCAAAGCCTCCTGAGCTCTTCGCTCAGGAGGCTTTGCGGGCTATCCTGAAGCCAGGAGAGCAAGCGAATCGGTGCACACCATTCCCTCTTGCCCTCCTGGCTTCAGCGGAAAGCAAGCCTACTGGCTTTCCCCCACCCTCCCACAAGAGCCATGCGCTCTTCAAAGGGAGCACGGCTCTTGGGGGCTTTTCTGGGAGGTGGGGGGAAGTGTCCCTTCCCCCACCTCCCGCAGAAGCCAGGGATAGCCGCGGGAAGCTTCCGCAGGGCAGTGGGATGAAGGCTCCCCGCTGCCCTGCGGAGGCACTGCGCAGCGCTCCCTCTAGCTGTTCTGATTTCTGGGGTAGCCCGCGAAGCCTCAGGGCAGCGGGGAGCTTTCATCCTGCTGCCCTGCGGCTTCGCAGGCTACCCCAGAGCTGCTCAGGGCTGGAGGGGGAAGCCTGGGTCCCCCCCCCCAGCCACAAAGAGCAGCTCAGGGCTGGCGGGGGAAGCCCCGGTTGATCTTCCGGGCACCCGGGGTTTCACCAGCCAGCCCCAAAAGAGCAACTCAGGAGTGTGCTGCATTCTGGCATTTTAGCTCCAGGGACCGCACACTCCATAAGACACAGAGACCTTTCCCCTTAGTTTTTAAGAGGAAAAAATGCATCTTATGGAGCGAAAAAATATGGTAATCATAGAGGAGCCGAATTGAAGGAGGGCAGCCAATCATGGAGGGCAGCCAATTTTCAGAATGACAGTCCCACAGGGCATTATGATTTACAGTGTTGACGGCTTTAGTCAGGTCAATAAACGCCATATACAGGGGTTGGTTTTGCTCTCTGCATTTTTTCTTGAAGCTGTCGAGCAGTGAAATCATGTCCACTGTCTCCCTAGAAGGCCGAAAACAATTTTTTGGGATTCAGGAAGGGTCACTTGGATATTGTTACAAGACAGTTTGCTAATATCCTTGCAAGAATTTTGCTGGCCGCAGCTAATAGAGACATGCCTCGATAATTTCCACAATCAGTTCCGTTACCTTTTTTAAAAGAGATTGATAATTTTGGCATCCTTAAAGTCTGCTGTAATTTCTTCTCTTTCCCAGAATTTTTTTGATGAGCTTGTGAAGTTGTTGTGTAAGTTCTACCACTTTTAAGATTTCGGCAGGTATCCCATCAGGTCCACTGGCTTTGTTGTACTACTACTACTAATAATAACGTTATTCTTTATACACTGCCCATCTGGGCGGCTCCCAACAGAATAATAATAATAATAATAATAATCTCATTTTGCCCCTTGCAGTCGACGTGGAGCACTCGCATGTCCGCTTCCTGGGCAACCTGGTCCTCAACCTCTGGGACTCGCGGCGGGTAAGTACCTCTTGCCCCCTTCGCCATGGTAAAAGGGACCCCCGGCCAGTCATCCAGTCTGACCCGCCGCCAGGCGGGGACTCTCGCCTCAAACATCCTGGGACAGACGGCCGCCTGCCCTCTGCTTGAAATCCAGACAATGGAAATCACAATTTAAACCTCTCGCCAGGGACAGCTCAGATTTTGCTGGCATCCTTCTCATCCTGATTTTTCTCATTTCAATCCCCATTCGATTCCGGATTTAAATCAGCCAGACTTCCCTAAACATGGCTGCCTTCAGATGTCTGGGGAAACACAGCTGGATGGGCGGGGGTATAAATAGAATGCTAATAATAATAATGATGATTTAAATCAAATTGATATAAATCATGATCTAGATCAGTAGTCAGCAAGGAATTAAATCCTTTTTACAGAAAAGGTTCAACCTTGCTGGCATTCCTCTTTAATATGGACAACCATAGAAGGTTTTCCTTTTTGGAATACAGTGGTACCTCGGGTTACATACACTTCAGGTTACATATGCTTCAGGTTACAGACTCCATTCACCCAGAAATAGTACCTCTGGGTTAAGAAGTTTGCTTCAGGATGAGAACAGAAATCGTGCACCAGCAGCGCGGTGGCCGGCTGGAGGCCCCATTAGCTAAAGTTAAGAACAGTTTCAGGTTAAGAACAGACCTCCAGAACGAATTAAGTACTTAACCTCGACGGTACCACTGTAATAGAAAATCCCTTTTTTTACAGAGAGGTTCAACCTTGCTGGCCTCCTCTTAATATGGACAAGCAGAGGGAGGTTTCCTTTTTGGAAGAATAAGATGCCTTTTTCAGCCAGGAAGACTCAGTATTGCTGGCATCCTCTGAATATCGACAAGCGGAGAAATGTTTCCTTTATGGAATCCTCAATTCACAGATGGTTTTACACTGATATGCTGGGTGGATTTGATTTAAATCACCATTTAAATCCCTGGTCCGTAACATTTAAATCCAATCGAAATCTTCAGCCTTGCTGGCAACCTCTGAATAGGGACAATACTTTTTGAAATAAAAAAAATCCCTTTTTTCAGAAAGGTTCCGCCTTGCTAGCCCCTCTGAAATGGCATGAAATGGCCTCAATTTGTTGCCCAGCCTGGAAATTGATAATAATAAAAAACTTTTATTTGTATCCTGCCCTCCCCGACTGAGACCGGTCAAACCTGTTCTGAATTGGCATAGAATTGAAATTTGAAACTGCTTTTTAACTGGGATAAAATAATTTAAATCCCCCGGTTTTCTCAGCCAGGACACCTTCATGGAGAACTACTTCACCAGCCAGAGGGACAACATCTTCCGCAACGTCGAGGTTCTGATTTACGTCTTTGACGTCGAGAGTCGGGAGCTTGAGAAGGACATGCACTACTACCAGTCGTGCCTGGAGGCCATCTTGCAGAACTCGCCTGATGCCAAAGTCTTCTGCCTGGTCCACAAGATGACTTGGTCCAGGAGGATCAGCGCGAAGCTGGTGAGCGAAAAGGGGACCCCTGGCTTTAATTCTACCAAATGTTTCCAGTGTCATGGGGGTTGCCAGCGAGGCTGAACCTCTGTAAAGGAAAGGAAACCTGCCTCCAATTTGCCGTATTGAGAGGGTGTCAGCGAAGCTGGGATGAGGGATAGGTTATTATTATTATTATTTTATTTTATTTTGGGAGCCGCCCAGAGTGGCTGGGGTATAAAGAATAAATTAATATTATTATTATAAATAGGGATAGAGATAGGTATAGGACTTGGTGTTAGGGATAGGGTTCTTCCTCCTCCTCCTCCTCCTCCTCCTCCTCCTCCTCCTCCTCCTCCTCCTCCTCCCCTTCTTCTTCATCATCATCTTGTGTTGGGAGCTGCCCAGAGTGCCTGGGGAAGCCAGCTGGATGGGCAGGTTATTATTATTAGGGATAGGGATAGATATAGGGGTTAGGGGTATCGGTTCTAGGAAGGTTGCCAGCAAGGCTGAACCTCTGCTTAAAGAAAGGAAAGCTGTTTCTGATTGGCCATATTAAAGGGTGCCAGTGAGGCTGGACTTAGGGATTAGGGATAGGGTTATTATTATTATTATTATTATGCTGTTGGGAGGCTCCCAGAGTGCTGGGGAAACCCCAACCAGATGGGCGGTGTATAAATAAATCATCATTATTATTGAGGATGGGATTTGATTTCAGTTGAATCGATTGAAATCACTATTTAAATCACTAGTCAGTAAGACTTGATTTAAACCCTTTTTATTTTTTTGACACAAATGTTCAGCCTCGCTGGTACCCTCTCAATATGGCCAATCGGAGGCAGGTTTCCTTTTCAGATCCGTGAAATCCTTTCCTGAACGTCCGCATAAAGGAAGGATTTTAAAGTTCTGGAAAGGAAAGCTGCCTCTGATTGGCCATATTAAGAGGCCATATTAAGAAATGCTGCCAGGGTAGAAGAGGGAGAAGTGAGACGAATATTAAAGAGGTAAACACAAGGAAGGCTATGGGCCCGGATGGGGTGGCTGGCAGGTGCTAAGAGATGTTCCGACCAACTGGCAGGAATCTTTTTGAAGATTTTTAACCAGTCTCTGGCCCAAGCCACTGTTCTACCCTGTCTGAAATCTGCTTACCATTATACCCCTGCCAAAAAAACAAAGATAGTCTGAATGATTTTCGCCCTGTGGTGTTGACACCCATTATAATGAAATGTTTTGAAAGTCTGTTGAGGAACCGCATCATATCTTGTTTCCCCAGTGGGACTTGACCCTTTACCAGTTTGTGTACAAGGCAAAGGATCCACAGAGGATGCTGTGGCAAATAGTTTTACATGCTGTCCTGACTCAATTTGGAGAAGCAAGGGCAAGATTGTTATTGTAGACTTTAGTTCTGCGTTTAATACTATTCTTCCCATAGATTGCTGCCCAACTATTAGACCTGGGACTTTCACCGTGTTTGTGCAGGTGGATACAGTGGTACCTTGGGTTACAAACACTTCAGATTACAGATGCTTCAGGTTACAGACGCTTCAGGTTACAGACTCCGCTAACCAGAAATAATACCTGAAGAACTTTGCTTCAGGATGAGAACAGAAATCTGGCAGCAGCGGCAGCAGGAGTCCCCATTAGCTAAAGTGGTACCTGAGGTTAAGAACAGTTTCAGGTTAAGAATGGACCTCCGGAACAAATTAAGTTCTTAACCAGAGGTACCCACTGTATTAGATTTTCTGTCAAACCGTTCCCAACGGATCAGGATGGTCCCACGTCTCTGCGGATTTCATCATGAATATGGGAACGCTGCAGGGGTGCGTGGTTGAGCCCGCTTTTATATACACTCTATACAGCTGACTGGGCCCCCCCAAATCCAGTAATAAGATCATTAAGTTTGCAGATGATACAACGGTAGTTGGTTTAATCACGGCTGGAGAGGGGGAGGCGGCCTATAGGAAGGAAGTTGAGCAGTTGGGGGAGTGGTGCAGGAAAAACAGCTTACTTCTTAACTTAAAAGAAAACAAAATAGATTATTGTGGACTTTAGGAAATGTAAATTGAATATTCCAGCGACTTATTATTGAGGGCAAGGGTGTGGAACAGGTCTTGGTGTTTCGATTTCTGGGAATGGAGTTGAGAGATGACCTAACCTGGGGAGAAAACATCAAAGACCTTATGAAGAGAGCACAGCAGAGGTTATATTTTCTGAGAACCCTCTGGAAAAATAATCTTTCAAAGGACCTGTTGATGGCATTTTACCATTGTACTGATGAGAGTGTATTAACTTACAGTCTGTGTGTGCGGTTTGGGAGCTGCACGGTCGGGGGCGGGAGCTGTCCAGGGTTGTAAAGACTGCAGAGAGAATAAACTGGGTCAAATCCCACAGGGCCCTAGTCTTTTGTGACAGAGCGTTCCACCAGATTGGAGCCACAGCCGAAAAAGCCCTGGCTCTAGTTGAGGCCAGCCTAACCTCTCTGTGGCCTGAGACCTTCAGGATGTTTTTATTTGAAGACCGTAAGTTCCTCTGTGGTACATACCAGGAGAGGCGGTCCCGTAGGTACGAGGGTCCTAAGCCGTATAGGGCTTTAAAGGTTAAAAACCATCACCTTAAACCTGATCCTGTACTCCACCGGGAGCCCAGTGTGTCTGGTATAGCACCGGGTGAATGTGATCTTGCAGCAAAGACCCCGTAAGGAGTCTCGCCGTGGCATTCTGCACCTGCTGGAGTTTCTGGGTCAGTCTCAAGGGCAGCCCCACGTAGAGCGAGTTACAATAATCCAGTCTGGAGGTGACCGTCACATGGATCACAGTGGCTAGGTCAGGGCGAGAGAGGTAAGGAGCCAACTGTTTAGCTTGGCGGAGCTGAAAAAATGCTGCCTTGTTATAGCTGTAATCTGCGCCTCCATGGAGAGGGAGCTATCGAAGATTACACCCAAACTCTTAACAGACGGTGCTGGCACTAATTGCAGCCCCGCAAGAGATGGGAGTTGCCCCCTCAATTCCATATCGTCCCGTCCCAGCCAGAGGACCTCTGTCTTCGAAAGATTTAACTTCAACCGGCTCCCACGTAACCATCCAGCCACAGCTTCCAAAATCTGATCAGTGTGTCTGGGGCCGAGTCAGGATGGCCATCTATTGAGAGATAAAGCTGGGTGTCATCAGCATATTGATGACAACTCACTCCAAAACTCCGGACAATCTGGGCAAGGGGGCGCATAAAGATGTTTCATCCAGAACCCCACCAAGCTGTTCAGCAACCGCTCTCTCAATCACCTTACCCAGGAATTCGAAACTGGGCGGTAATTGGATAGATCTAAGGGATCTAATGATGTTTTCTTTAAGAGCGGGCGCACCACTGCCTCCTTCAGTTCCCCTGGGAATGTCCCGGTGCCAAGGGACAAATTGATGATATCCCCCCGGGGGGCCGGCACCTCGTCTGCACACGCTCTAATCAGCCAAGACAGGCACGGGTCGAGAGGACAGGTGGTGGGCTTTCTAGCTTGGAGGAGTCTGTCCACATCGGCTGGGGA